GCCTTGCCCGGGGAGGGGTGGGCGGGACCGCGCCGTGGCCTCGCCCGGGGAGGGGTCGGCGGGGCCGCGCCGTGGCCTTGCCCGGGGAGGGGTGGGCGGGACCGCGCCGTGGCCTCGCCCGGGGAGGGGTCGGCGGGGCCGCGCCGTGGCCTTGCCCGGGGAGGGGTGGGCGGGACCGCGCCGTGGCCTCGCCCGGGGAGGGGTCGGCGGGGCCGCGCCGTGGCCTTGCCCGGGGAGGGGTGGGCGGGACCGCGCCGTGGCCTCGCCCGGGGAGGGGTCGGCGGGGCCGCGCCGTGGCCTTGCCCGGGGAGGGGTCGGCAAAACTCTCCGAGGAGGAGCCTAGTGAGTCCGTAACTGGGAAAACTTAGAAAACAGCCAATAGTCCAGCAGCACCTCAGAGAGGAACAAAACACGTAGCCAGGATTGTGAGCTTTCCTAGGCACGGCCCACGGCTCCAGATGGAGTCTCACTGCAGTGGGTTGATGGGCCGTGTGCGAGCTCAGGGGTGTTACAGACCCTGCCTTAGCACCCCCCTCCCCAGTAGCTCTGGAGCTGTCGCGGGAACTTCTCCACCTCAGCCGCCTGTGCTGTACACAACGCACTTTGGCTACGTCTACACTGCAGGCTTTGTGCGCAAGACCTGCTGTTCTTCCGCAGAAACTTGCAGAGCGTCTACACTGCACGTGCGTTCTTGCACAAGTAAATTTACCGTAAAGCGTTGGAACAGAGGGCGTCTTGTGCAAGAGTTAGACCTCTCCCCGCAAGGAATGAGCCCTCTTGCGCAAGAAGGCAGTGTGGATGGGCAACAGGTTCAAATGGCCATCAGAGCTTTCTTGCACAAGAAAGCATCCACACTGCCATGGACGCTCTTGCGCAAAAGCACATCTCTTGTGCAGTTCTTGTGCAAGAAGCTTGCAGTGTAGACGTAGTCTTTATGTATTTATACCCCCGGTGTGGTGGGGCGGCTGCTCCACACCAGCCGGAAGGGTTAATGCAGGCAGGAGGGAGCATATACACAGAGCCCCTGCCAGTCAGGGAGAGGATTATAAGTAGTCAATCAGGGTGTAGCTTGCTGGGGCAGGTCCGGTATAAAAGGAGCTGCCCAGCAGGGTGAGTCAATGAGGCGCTGATTAGGGGAGGGGCAGGACCTGCAGATGCACCTTGCAGAGAGCCAAGCAGGGCAGCCTCAGGGGGTTAGCGAGGGAGGTTCCAGCCTCTTCCCTGCTGGGCAGCAGCCTTGTGCCAAGGGCCCGGAGGCTGCAAAGGACCCAGGGAGCTAGAGGCAGGGAAGAGGAGCCTTTATTCCCCAACTCGGCCAGCAGGAGGCGCCCTGCCGACGAAAGGGCCCGTTCCCCAGCTCGGCCAGCAGGAGGTGCCCTGCCGACGAAAAGGCCGATTCCCCAACTCGGCCAGCAGGAGGCGCCGCGGCCGTGAGTCCCGTCCCCTGAGACCTGGTTGTATCCCGTGAAAGGGACTCTCAACCCCGTCTCGTATACCAGGGCGATAAACATTTCACAGCCTGGAGCCGCTCCCCTTGCCCTGCGCAAAGACCCTTTGGAATCGCAGCCAGTCCCAGCGCTGAGCCCACAGCGAGATGCGTTTGCTCCCACCCCGTACGCAGGGATCTGGCAGTGACTCGGTTCTGTCGTGGCGGGAGTGGGGAGCTGCAGCGTTGCCTGTGAGCCGGGCGCTTTTGCGGCTGCTCTACTGAGATTCCAATGCCACCTGACCGAGTGGTGCACATGCCTCGGTGCATGTAATGCACTGGTGGGGAGCTGTGTCAGGGGCTGCTGCCTTTGCCCCATCACCTGCCTCTGAAGACGGGGCTGCAGGGATAGAAAAGGCCTGTTGGGTCCCATCCCCCGGGGGCCCGTGTGTGACTGTTCCCGCGCTCTGTTCTCAGCCGTGTTAGCCAGGCCGAGTTCCCAATATCCCAGCCCCTGGGCAGCACCCGCCCCAGCCCCGAAGCCCTTCTGTGTGACTGAGTCTCACAGTCACGTTAAAGCCAAAGCGTCGCCCCCCATGACTGAAGCCTCCCGCTCGGTGACTTGGGGGGAGGAGGGGCAGGTCTTTCAGAAAGAGTCTTTCCAGCTCAGATGAGAGACTCCCAGTGACAGAAGATCCACCCCAGCCCGTGGGAAGCGGCTCTGACAGTAAAATACCCGAAATAATTGTTTCTTGAGACTCAGCTACATTTTCCCTTATTGTCCTTTGCATTCACCCTCCTCCCCCACCGCACCCGAAATAGATCCCCCCCAATCAGTGCTTCTCCTTTCGTGGGGTCGGTGCCTCTCAGGAGTTGGCAACACTGGCTTGACTCTCCCTGGTCATTTCTCTAGACTGGAGCAGGTTCCTGTATTGTACCCTGAGTACGTTTATCGCCGGTTCACCCCCAGGAGCACCCCCACTTGTAAATGCCCATCAGATTCCTCACCCCTGTCCCTTCTCCCTTCTGCACCCAACCTCTCTCACACACCCCCACGGCTCCGGTATTAACAACATGGGAGAGGGTGGCCCTCAACCACTTACCAAATTCTTGCAGTGGATCCCATCAAAAAATTATCCCCCGCCCCTGTGCTAAGGGCTTAAGGTAAGACAGAAAAAGATTCTTTTACCAGAATGTGTAGTGTGTTGCACAGATCTAAAACTCTGATGCTCATGATTTTTTTTAAAACCCTGTGTTACTAATTAATAGATGGCAAACCGTACTGCATCAGGGCCAGATCTGTGTGACTGTTCCCGCGCTCTGTTCTCAGTTAGTTTAATTAACTAATTAGTTTGCGCAAACTGTATCACACTCAGGCCAGAGGTGTGCTGTGTGGCAGAGTTCTGGCCGTTATGCGTCAAGAGTAGCCAGCACTAGGTGTGATGCTGTGTTGTAGGATGAAACCTTATTTGCCAACTTTTTGAAGCGTGCACCTTGCCTGTTAGAAAGGCTGATGATCCACGTTCTCAGAGGGGTCGTCGCTGTGTTACTATGTAACTAAATAAACTTAAAAGCCACCCATGGGCCTATACCACTTTAGACTAACCAACATCTAGAAATAGTATCATGCGCTTACATGGACACATCCCACTTCTTCAGCCCCGGGCAGTGTTAATTTACTTTCCATTTGAGTTTCCTATTAACCAATCAGAAGCATTGCTCCTTGTAATGGTCCCTGGTTTTAATACATTTCCCTCCGCTTCTATGGACTATGGAACATACACACTGATATTTACTAGCGTGGCGTGTGCTGGCAGGTGCACACCCACCCACCACCTCAGTATGGGTGTTGCACATGAGACATTTCAAAACGCTCCAAAGAAAATTCAACCAACCCAAGGATGGAAAATCTTAGCGGGAGCCCTGGTCAGAGCCCTGCCCGGCTGTTGGTGCTCTGGTGCCATGACGGCTCTGTCAGCCCGTGTTCATCTAGGAGTGTTCGTCCCTGAGACTAGACCAGTCTCATTTTTCCTGGACGTAGAATTATCAGCTTGGTGCAACGTTTGAAGCCAGGTCGAACGACGGTTTGTTCAGTGATTAACCCTGTGAATTTGGCTCGTCGCTGACATTTTCTGGGTGTCATAACCAGGAAGTGCCAGGGCTCTGCTCCCAGACCCAGGCCTGCAGCTCTTCCTCGTGTCCCCCAAGGCAGAGTCAAAGCCCGACCTGCCTCGGAAAGGCCCCTTGTCCAGCCCCTCCAGCATTTTCTTTAACCAGCTGGGCCCTTGTCTAAGGCAAGGGGGTAGCTCTTCAAAGGCATTTGGGTGCCTCTAGATTGAGGGGGCACCTAGGCTGGGACTCACCGGGGACGTCGGTGTCAGTTACTGGGATGGGGGTGGTCTGACCTAGTGGTGAGAGCAGGAGTCAGCCACCAGGAATCAGCCCATGGTCAGGGCTGGAGTTGGGGCAGCAACAAGAGCCCAGGGCAGGCCCAGGTTACCTGGAGGGAGCCAGGGCAGCAGCAGTAGTAGGGCTGAGTCCCACAACCTTGATTCTGCAGTTTTCCCTCCGCCCATTCCTTAGAATCACAAACGCTGCCATTTCGAGATCACTTTCACCTGGTCAAATCCCTCCCAGACCGTCCTCGCCCCTCGCTGCTCCCTCCCCCTTCTGCAATAAAACCCTCGTCTCCCCAGGCCCCACGGCAGAGAGAAAAAGTCCGTGGGGGGCAGGAGACCAGGGCGGGTAGAGGAGACACCAGGGGGCTGGGAGATCCCAGACGGGAGAGAGGCCGAGGAGAGGGGGGTGCACTGTGGGGGGGGAGCACAGGCCCTGGGGTGAGAGCTCAGTGCGGGTGCTGGTGCTGGGGGGAGGCTGCACCTGTCTCTGTTTCCCAGGGGCGGGGGCCCGT